GGGACGAACTCCCCGGTGGACGCCCCGAAGGCGCGCTGGGAGGTCGCCGCGGTGGGCCGCTCCCCCTGGCGGCGGGTCTGGTGCTCGGCCTGGACAAGGGGCAGCCGGTCCACGGTGAAGGCCTGGAGGTGGTGGAAGCCGCGATGAGCCGCGGGGAGGTGGGTGAACTCGACGCTGACCGCGCGGTCCGCAGGGCCGGAGGAAAGAACCCCCAGCACGAAGGGGCGGTCGAAGTTCTGCTGGACACCCATCCCGTGGATGCGCGGGATCACGAGGTAGGGGAGGTCGTTCGGCTCAAAGCGATAGCGAAGAGCCACATCCCGCGACACCGCAAAGTTCGAGTCCGCGGTCGGCAGGCTGGGGTTGAGGGAGCTGTTCTTTTCCACACAGAACTTCCCGTTGCCGTACTTGGCGACACTGAGCATGAGCGGGGCGAAATGCGCGGCCGGCTCGTCGTCCGAGAGCCCTCGCTTATCCGGCTGGGAGAGCACAAAAAGCAGCTCCACCGGTTTGGAGGCGGTCACCTTGAGAACGACGCTGGGCTCGACCCCGTGGAAGGTCCCCTTGATGCGGTGGTCCACCACGTTCTCCAGTGTGAACACAACACCGCCGCCGTTGAAGTACGCTATGGCGTCCTCAAAGGAGATCCAGAAGGTGCCGTCGTCCTCGCCTGCCTTGTAGCCGCAGGCCTCGGCGGCGGCAGGGTTTTCGGCCCACTCCGCCGACCCATCGGACCATGCGCCCGTCCATCGCTCGGCCCAAGTCCATGGATTGCAGATCTTCAGCAAGGCGGCCTCGCGGCCTCCAGCCGTCGTGATTTTCACAATGCACTCAAGGCGGTAGCTGTGGGAAAGTTGGAGGCCGATGCCGGCGAGCCGCGTGCGGGCGACGGCGGGGTCCCCCAACTGATTATGGCTTGGCGTGCTGAGGACGACGAGGCAGCCCGCCGTGAGGTTGTCCCCGAGGCCCTCGAGAAAGCCCCGAGCGACCTCGGAATCCGATGCGGCGGCAGCCCATTCCGCGTCGAAACGCCACGTGGGGGCGCCGGTGAGGTCCTGCAGGGCCTGGAGCGTGTCGCCGCCGGTGATCGCCGCGTAGCTGCCGTGGATCTTTGCGTAGGCCTTCTGAAGGAGGCCCACCCACAGCTCGCGGGGCTCCACACTCCGCGCGAAGACAGGCATGTCCGCGATCGTGGGTAAATAATCGTCCACCACAACGCTACGCCACCAGCCGTTTTTATTCAGCTCGATGTGGTAGCCGCCGAGTGCGCGCGCAGCCGGGTGGGCGTTTGAGAACGTCGCCTGGACGGCGTCCTCCCGCCCCGCCAGCGCGGCGGCCGCGCAGGAAAACCAACAATCCCCGAGCAGCCCCGGTTCGACCACCTGCGGGATGACGGCGCCCGTGAAGAGGGCAGCCGACTTGCCATCCGGCAAAAACTGCGAGGGACGCTTCATCGCCATCGTGTGCAGAGAATGCCCATCCACCCCCGGCCTGAAAAGCATCTCCTGCGTCGGTGGGAAGTCGGGGTCAACAAACGCCGTTTTCCTCTGCACGCAGGCCGCGAGAACGACCTCGTCGTGCGCGCCCAGGTGCGCGGTAGCCTTCGCCGTCTCCAACGCGCGAGCGGCCTCGGCATTCGGCGCCGCGCAGTGGCGCTCGAGGTAGACCTCGTCAATCGGCCGCGCGGTGATGCCCCCGTGGTATTCCCCAGGGGCCAGGCCCACGTATTTGACCGTCTCCAGCGGGTAGACCACCAACCGCGTCCGGCGGGAACCGTCCGCAGCCTCCTCCACCTCCGTCCGCTCCCCGGTGGAGATCACCACGTTGGGGTCAAAGCGATGCTCAACATGGGCCACATGCTCCAGGGTGTCGTTGTAGATAAACCACTCATCATTCTCCACCACACGGTAAATCAGACCCTCCTCGAAGAGCGGGCTCACGAGGCCATCAGGAACCGTGCATTTATGATATCGGAAAGGAGACCGACGGGCCTCCTGCAGGGCGCGAAGGCGAAGACGGCAAAGTTCCGCCGAGGAGCCACCTTTGACGGATTTCGGCGAGATCCCGGCGGGTCCCGAAAGTCCCTTTGTCTTTGTCTTGGAATTACAACACCCCATTTGCACCCTAGATTGTTAGGTTTTAGACTTTGTGTCGTGACTTTTAAGTTATAGTTTTATACCCTTGCTTTACTTTGTCGAGGCTCAGTGTACAAGGGTAAATAATAATACTAAAATAATACTGTTTTAATAATAACAATAATCTGGTAATGGTAGAAAAAATATATATGAGGGAAATAAAACTATAAAATTAGTCTTTTTTTATAAATAATCATAAAACCAACATCATAGTTCAGTATTTCTCCATTACAGTAGGATATTTTTTTTGGTATGTGTGATGGAAAAATAAGGAGGAAGGACAAGTCCGGTAGTAAAGTTATCTGAAAAAAAAAGGTGCAAGTTAATATCGTCTCATCTCGGATCAACAGTACTTAATAGTGCCTCTTCATACCAAATTAACTTCGCCTCCAGAAAAAAAAGCCATTTGGTACCATGCAGCAAACGAGAAACAATTTATTCACAAATAAAGAGATTCCAACGACTGGTCGCCAATTTTTTTTAATCCTTAAATGATGCACTCACTAAATAATTCTAAAACGTATTCAGCCTTCCGCCAAACTCAGTCCATTATTCCAGTACAACTGTATCGGGTCCACTTCCGTGGCGTCCCCCACCACGGGGGTCACCTGCACCACACCGAGGGAACTCACCTCCACCCCCACCACCGGAAAGGAAGTGTACGGCAAGGCCAAAGAGGCGTCCTGGAGGCTTTTCAGCTCCGCGTTGACGACAACGATATAAT